TATCATATCATAGGTCATAGGATACCTGATTCATTTTGTGCTAAAAGTTATGACCATTTGAAGTTGACCCAACAACATTTTCCCCCTAACTGATTATTAACCTTCACCTACGGTCAGACTTACGGACCGTAGATCGAACGACGGTCCATGTAGGTTGTTCGAGTTCATGTTAGAGGCTGGGTAATAGGAGTCTTGATCCATGGACCTTGGTCTGACTTACGGACCGTAGGTCTGTCCATGGGTCGAGACTTAGCCAATTTTTGTGAGCTGTGTTTTGGGAGGGCTACAATGGTGAACCACGGACCCATGGCATGGGTGGTAGTTCAGACTAAAGTCCGTAGATGGTGATCGTCAATTGCATTTGCAATTTTTCTGAATAGCTGATTTCTGCTTCGTTTTGGATACGGGGTATTATACTTTGAACTATGTGCTTTGGGCATTTTGAATCCTTTAGAAATTTTCATGTATATATCATTAACGAGTGATCCCTAAAAGTAGGTTGTAACCACATTCATCAAATGCATTTCAAGTTTCTCATGGATTGTGATTCGTGAAACTAATAATATAACACAAACTTATGGCATCCATAACGGGTGAGTGTGTCTCTTCATAATCAACGTCGAGCCTTTAAGAAAATTCTTGTGCAACAAGATGTGCTTTGTACCTTTGTATTTCATTTTTCTCATTCATTTTCTGCATAAAACCCCATTTAAAGACAACAGGTTTAACACCATTAGGTGTTTGTATTATAGACCCAAAACTTTGCTCTAGACAAGTGAATTCAATTATGATTGAATTGTTTCTTTCCATTTTGGTCAATCATCTCTTTGTCGGCATTCTTCAACAGATTGAGGTTAAAATCGTCATAATTTTGCATAATTTTTGTGCAAAATTGTATGCAAAAACATAATCCACCGTTATTTCTGAGTGACTTTGATTTGTTGAATCAGCATTTGATTTTATGGATAATTAATTGTTTTCTTGAGTCTGAAGCTCATTGATCCCTTCATGATACAAGAATTACTCACATCTTGACTTTCTATGTGAGGTTTTTTCATAGTGTCATTCTAATATTTTAATTTTCTTTTTCTAGGCTTTTAATCTGTTGATCCTAATAGTCTATCACGCTTCAGACATGCTTTTGACTCGTTAGCTATGACACTAGTAGATGATCCTATATGGACATCAATTTAAATTGGGACATTCTTTACAGGAATATGTGATTTAGTAATTCTTTTCAAATCTGTAAATACGTGTTACATTTGACTTGTCATTTTCTGCAAATGGATAATCTTTTGTTCTTGTTGCTCGCAAATGGAAGTAAGAGGATCAAGATGAGACAATGATGGATTTTTTCATATTTCTCCTTTAATTTCACTATTTTCTCCCCCTAATTTTGGGAAAAGTGTCTCATCAAATCGACTTTCTGTGAATCGGGTTGTGAGAATATGTTCCAGTTAATGGCTCAAGGTAGCGAATGATAGAGGATGATTCAATCTTAATATATATTCCTAACCTTCTTTTATGGCCTATCTTAGTGCATGTGATAGTGCTATCGGCACATACACAGCGCATCCAAATATTCTTAGAAAAGATACACTGAATTGTTGCCCTAAACCAATTTGAAATGGAGAAAACTTATGATAATATGTCGGTTTGAGACAAATACGTGCTAGAGCATGCAAAATTGTATGACCCCACACAGAAGTGGGCAACTTAGTTTTTGTAAGTAATGGTCTTGCAATCAACTGCAGTTGTTTAATTAATGACTCAATCATAGCATTTTAGGTGTGAACATGAGCTACATGATGTTCAACGCTTATCCCAATGGACAGACAATAATCATTGAATGTTTGGGAAGAAATCTCTGCAACGTTATCAAGGTGAATAGCTTAATTTGATTATCAGGGAACCGTGCCTGTAATTATATTATTTGTGTCAATATTTTGTAAATATCAAATTTTCATATGACAATAGGCATACATGAGACCATTTAGAAAAAGCATCTATCAGGACCATAAAATATCTAAATGTCCCACTTGGTGGGTGAATTGGTCCACAAATGTTCCCATGTATACGTTCCAAGAACACATGGGACTCAATTTTCACCTTTGTTGGTGATGGTCTCACAATTAACTTGCTTTGATAACATGCATCACAATAAAATTCACCATTCAAAAGAATTTTTAAATTCTTTAATGGATGTCCGTTTGAATTTTCTATAATTAGTCTCATCATTATAGACTCGGTATGTCCTAGATGATCATGCCAAAGTACGAAGGTATTGGAATTAGTAAACCCTCAATTTACTATAGAAAGTGCCTCAATTGCACTAATTTTTGTCCAATACAATCCAACTGCCCAGAGACATTTTTGGTTATACCAAGATATTCAAGATTCATTTCATCAATTGTCTTGATATGGTAACCATTTTCACGATTATCTTTGAAACTCAATAAATTTCTTCAAGACTAAGGAGAAAACATGGCATTATTTATCATGAGTCTAGTTCCCTTGGGCAAAATTATAATGGCTCTTCCAGAGCCCTTGATCAAATTAGTACTATCATATATACTAGTAACATTCATATTGCTCATACTCAAATAAAAAAAATGTTTCTCATTTTTGAATATTGTATGTGTTATACCTGAATCAATCAAGCAAATGTCTTCATAATTTGATAATTTGCTAACAATGAAATAAATTTATATTAAATTATTAATTATCTTCCATTTAGTAATTTTTGAAATATAAGAAGTAATGTAAGTGTTAAAATGACATTTGAATCATTATAATGATCATTTACTAATAATGCACAAGATTTTTATCACTCAAACTTTTAACCCTAAACTTGATTTAATTTAGCATGTATAAAATAAATATTAATATAATTATTTAATATCTTGAAAGGACAATTGAGTGACAAAAGAAAAGTTGTTTTCCACTTACCAATTTAGGTAAGTGCTTTTACTTTTATATTAAATATAACTTATATATTTTCCTTTTATGGTCACAAAAGTTAAGAAGAAAATATAATTTTAATATTTTTCAGTTCTTCTTCAAATCTTTATAACATTCCAACTCACGTTTCCATAGGTTTCTTAAAAAGAAGAGACTTAATGAATATGCATGGATAAATATGAGCACTACTATTTGTTTCACATTATGACCAATCCAAAACATCAAATATTAATAACATAATTATTAGCAAATATCAATCATGATTGTTCTTCCATATCCACAGAATCATCACCAATTAAGTGATCTATTTTTCTTTTAGGGTGTGTGAAGAAATTTGTCACATCCAAGTGTATGATGTCAACATGATCAGTGATAAAATTAGCTTCATAATTTTTATTCCTTCTTTCTTAGTGATGCTTGATAAAGCTCAACCAAGTGCTTAGGAGTACGACAATCACGTGCATAGTGACCTCTTCCACCATATTGGAAACAGTTTGATTTGATTGCTTTACGTTTCTCATCTTTTCCTTTTCTTTTTCCCCTTTGATAGTGATTTTTCTTTGGTGAATGATTAACACCGAGAAAAGGATTTCGCTCGTGCTCGTAATTACGACCATGAACTCTTCCACGCCTAGCGTGGTGGGCGTACACCTCATTCACTTCAGGAAATGGTGTAGATCCAGTGGAACGATTCTCGTGATTTTCAGTAACAAATCATTATTTTGTTCAGCCACGAGAAGATGAGAAATCAGTTCAGAATACTTCTTGAAACCATTTTCTCGATATTATTGCTGTAAAAGCACATTCGATGCATGAAATGTGAACATTTTTTTCATCATATCAACATCACTAACTGTATCTCCACATAGTTTCAATTGAGAAGTAATTTTGAACATGGCAGAATTGTACTCATTAATAGACTTAAAGTCTTGGCATCCAATCATATCGTGCCTTTGGATGAATGATCATCTTCAAGTGGTCATATCTTTCTTTTATATTATTCCACAGAACGAGTGGATCCTTGACTGTGAGATGTTCAATTTTCAAAATTTCGTCAATATGATGATGTAAGAATATCATTGTTTTAGCATAGTCTTGTTTTGATGCTTTATTTTCAATTTTAATTGTCTCCAAGACCCATAGACGAACTCAAGTTTAATAAGATTAGCCATGATAAAAAGAAGAAAAATAACAATACTTTAGCCTTCAAATTTAGTCTTCAAACTTTGAGATGACAAAGTCTCGTGCTGATAACATGTTACTCCCTCCGTTTCAAAAAGAATGTACCTATTTCCTTTTTAGTTTGTTTTCAAAAAGAATGTCCCCTTTCCTTTTTTGGCAACACTTTAACTTTAATTTTCCACGTGGCATGTTTAAGACCACAAAATAAAAGGACATTTTGGTACATTTAACATAACTTTAATTTAGAACCACAAGATTAAAAAGTCTTCTTTCTTTTCTTAAACTACATTCCTAGTCAAACTAGGTCATTCTTTTTTAAACATAGAGAGTATAAAATACTAAGTACTAAAATTGAACTAATAACAACCAAGAAGAGAAGAATGTAGTAGGGCCACAAAATAGGAAACTTTTATCTTTCTTATATTGTTATGTTTTTTCACACAAGTTACAATGCCTTTTATAGGCATAAGAGGAATACAATGGACATTGATTAATTTTGTTTACAACGGATTACGAATTTTTTTGAAGGAAGAATTTTCCCCATATATCTCATGTAAGATTTTCAATTCGACCTTTTTTTTTTGGCTACATTGATAATTAGAATGTTGCCCTTCAAAAACAATTTTTCTACCTCCGCGGGGTAGTGATAAGGTGTATGTATACTCTATCCTCTCCAGATTCCACTTAATGAAACTTCGCTGGATATGCTGTTGATGATTAAAATGTTATCCGATGAAGTTGCATGGAATATGAGTTTGTGAATACTCTAGCAATGGATGATTTCTAATTAATAGTTAGTACTTCGTACTAGCATATAATAAGTTTGAAATGAAAAGAGAATATTAATGGTTTAGAACTTCAGATATAGCAAATCCATTGATATTACTGTAATAGGTTGTTCAACAAAATATGAATGAATTCCGTCCTGGATATCACAGGATCATCAGGAATATAGCAGGGTACAGAGGTGGCTGAGGATTTGGGAATTTTAAGTATCTTCCATATCCCATGTCCTCGTCTTAAATAGCAGAACTTTGAATAAAAGTGTAAACACTATCCACCTTGTATGGATGCTCGATGTTTCCACATTTTGAGTGAACAAGTAAAGCAGACACCTTTTTCATTCTCTTTGGGTGGTCCTGGACTGGATTCTTGGGTGTCATGGTTGCAAAATAACCCCTCTCTTCTGTGGAGAGCTTGTGGTAAAGATTTTAGCTTTAAAGCAAAAAGATTTCTGCAGTCCACAGCTAGTGAGCTAAAATGAAAAATAACCTTAGATGTAACTTAAGCATACTCGTCTTCTGGACCAGAAAAGTTGATTTGGTACCTAGTAATTGAATCAACTCTACAGTCTACTGGATGGCATTTCTACTGGATGGCATTACTTAATAGTTCCATCCGTTGCTGATCTTCGACATAATATGGGATTTTACACATGGAACACCTTGAGCATAGCTAAGTAGCTGTAGGTAGGCCTGCATCATACTTCCAGCATAACAAGAGCACCTCGAGTCCCAACCAGTAAGAAACTCTGCATTGTCAGATTTTGCATGGGATTTTCCACAGTTCCCAGAAGGCAAGTCCAACCTGGGACCAACATATACAGGGATTCATTATTAAGAAACCATATAAGATGCATGCAGTATTCTTTTAGTAACAATCATCTCTGTCCTCAATCGACTTGCACGCAATAGCCACATATACTACTCTTCTCATTCTTCCCAGAAGAATTTGTTCAATTAGTAACACAATACAGAACCTTCAAGCAGTATTCTTTTAGTATCCCTGCTTATTTTCAGACATCTTACATTTAACAACATGTTCTACTATTATCTCATCCTTCCAGAAGAATTTGCCAAATTCGTAACAGAACACAGAGCCTTCAAGATACCAACTTCTCAAAAAATGCAGAGCAGATATTATAACGAATTACCTTTGACCTTAGCCTTCTATCTGAAGAAATGAGTCGGTGGACTTAAATGAGGGGGTGATATCACACAACAAGGGGATGTTCTCATATCAATGAAAGAAATCCAGGAAAACAAGCTCAGGTGCTCTTGATTTTAGAACGACATTCATTGCCAGAAGTGTATCACATATGATGTCAATCTGACAGTGCGCTCTATCAGCAACAAGAAATTCATGAACAAAACCATCTATTTCAATAAAAGAGCATCCAGGTTGCTTTTGGATTCCCTCAGCACCCATATTCCTCCTTACCATCTTCACATCTTTCCACCTAGATGCAGAGGCATAGGCATTAGACAACAGTACATGTGCCCCACACTTCTCTGGTTCCAATTCATTAATCTTTTTGGCAGCAACCTCGGCCAACTCTACATTACCGTGTCTGCTACAAGCAAAAAGCAGAGATCGCCAAATGACAGCATCCCGCTGAATGGACATGGAACCTATCAAATCCATAGCCTCAACCAGAAGATTTGCACGACCCAAAAGATCAACCAGGCAACCGTAGTGCTCAATCCCTGGGAAAATTTTGTATCTCGTTGTCATTTTCTCAAAAAAGTAAAACCCTTCATCAACAAATCCACCATGACTACAGGCAGATAAGATTCCAAGAAACGTTACTTCATTTGGACTTACTTCACTTGATCCTTCCATAAGTGAAAATAACTGCAAAGCCTCTTTGGACCTTGCATTCATAGCTAGCCCAGAAATCATCATACTCCACGAATAAACATCCTTATTAGTTAACGAATGAAAAACTTCGAGAGCTTTATCAACAAGTCCACATTTAGAGTACATATCAATCAAAGAATTCTTCACTATAAGGTTCATTTCTATTCCACTCCTTTCGCTATAATTATGCACCCACCTTCCGAGATCCAGTGCACCTGAATGTCCACATGCAGAAACAACACAAGCAATTGTGGCAGGTTCGGCCATAACCCCAGCTATGAGCATCTCCCTGAATAACTCTATCGCTTCCTTACACATATCACATTTCAAATAACCTGCAATCATAGAAGTCCAACAAACTATATTTTTATCTATCAATTGGTCAAAAACAGTTTTAGCATCTTCTAAACACCCACATTTCGTGTACATATCAACCAAAGAAGAACCTAAGAAGACATCCATTACAACTCCATAGACCACAATCAACCCGTGAATCCTCTTCCCCACGTCAAGCAACTCAGTTCTTGCACAAGCTGTAAGAGCACTCACAATACTTACATCATTCAACCTCACATCACTTTCGCGCAACAATTTTCCAAACACCTTCACTGCTTGATAACAACACCCACCTTGTAAATACCCAGAAATCATACTATTCCAAGTAACAACATCACGAACTGAATCAGGAATAAAATCAAACACCTTCTGTGCAAACTCAACAACCCCACATTGAAAATACATATAAATCAAAGAATTTTGCACAAAAACATCAAATTCAAACCCCATTTTCAAACTCACACAATGAACTTCTCGACCCTTATGAAAACTAACTAATCTACCACAAGCTTTCAGTACAAAAGGGAAAGTAAAATTATCAAGACTCAAACTTTCCCGCATCATTTGATTGTAAAGACTAACGGCTTCTTGGGGAAATGAACTGTGGCAGTATGCACGGATGAGGAAATTCCAAGAGAAGACATTGTGGTTAGGGATTTGAGTGAAAAGGGTGTGAGAAAAAGTGAGAGTGAAATCAGAATTTGTTAGACAATGTTGGAGGAGTTGGCTGGAAATGAATGGATTTGTGAAGTAGCCTGAAGTAATGGCATGAGAGAGGATTTGGGTGAAATGATTGAAGAGTTTATGGGTTTGCAAAAGAGATGGAGAGAATGTGTGGTGAAGTGATTTTTGAGTTTGAGATGTAAGAAGAGAGATTAGGGTTTTGGGTTTTGGAGGTTTGAATTTGGAGGGAAGCCTCACCATTTGGTTACACAACTAACATTTGACAAGAGAGTTTGGAAAGGGAAGTTTGGATTATTTTTAAACAAAATGAGAAGTACACGAACTAGTCTAACCGGTACAAGAGCGTCTAAAGTACAAGACTAAGATTATATATAACAAGTTCGTTTAACAAAAATTCAAAATATAGAGGATAAATTAATGAAGGAATACGACAAGTCTCTGGCCGTCAAGAGTTCGTCATAATATTAATAACAATCAAGATATAATAAGAGATCAATAAGGGTGGCGAGGGCTGCGATAATTTGGTTCAAATAAAAAAAATTGAATTTATTTTAATTTTAATTTTAGGTTTTCGATTTAATTGATCGGTTTCTATTTTAAATTTTAAATTTCGGTAATTCGATTCTATTTAGTAGGAGTGTTTAGAATTTTTTGTTTATGAAAGAAAATAAATATCTCTAAAAAAAATTTAAAAATTGATTAACAAATCCACGAGCTCTGCATGCTCCTCTTTACTCTTGGAGTAGATCAAAGTGTTATTTATAAAAACCATCACAAAGGAATTCAGATATGACTTGCAAACATCACTAATCAAACTCATCAAAACCGTTGGTGCATTAGTCAATTCAAACGATATCACTCAAAACTAAAATATGTCGATATCAAGTCATGAAAGTTGTTTTAGGCACATTCGCAAACTTTAACTTTGAACTGGTGGTACTTTAACCTTAAGTTAATCTTTGAGAGCACTAAAGCATCCTACAAGGCTACAACTGGTCAAAAGGAGCATCTATGCAAGGTGAGGGGTAGTTATTCTAGATAATGACCTTATTCACTTCTCATATTATCATTCTTCTTTTACACAAATAACACCGAAGCATCCCAAGGCAATGCACTAAGGCGAACAAACCCCGTTTTTATTATCTCTTGAAGCTGAGTCTTGAGTTCCCTCACCTCGATCAGGTCATGCAATAAGGAGAGGTAGATACTAGGGACTGCAAGTCGATGCAAAAATCAATATCTCTATCCAAAGATATGCCAAACATTTCATTAGGAGATACCTCTAAAAAATCTGAAACCACTAAAATTGAATTAATAGAAAGGGGTACAAGACTAACATTCCAAGGATTGACTTATGTAATCTTGGTATGAGTTTGTTAGCTCTATATCTTGCTAGCTTAGACTGTTATGCTAAAATTGTTCCCGTTTGTATGCTCAGAATGACTACATTAAAGTGGAATGAGAATTGTAATCCTTTTTGTAAGAAGATCATATCTTATATTCATACAATATAGTTATTGGGGGAGGGGGGAGCATGTTTAGCATTTTTAGAGAAAAGTCATACGACAAACTATATTGACAGAAGTTTGTTTAGCATTGTTTGAAGTTGTACCTTGCTCAAACTCATATGACAAACTTTATGGTAGAATATGTTTTTAGCCCAATTTTGTGCTAGAATTTCCTTGAACCACTTACCACATTTAAGACTTGACCTTTTCACCTATTAATCCAATCTCATGCATAGAACGATTCAAATCATAGCCCAAAAATACGAAGTATTACTTTGGGATAATATTTATTAGAGAATAAATAGTTGCTCAATTTTACTAAATGATATATTCGTTTATGGTGTCTATTTACTTATATAGTAGATAATTTAGTGTGTAGAATTTTAGTTTACACAGAGGATTAAATCATCAGTTCTTATAAGTATAAAGTTTTTTGTTCACAATCTAGGATGGAAATTGGACATGTCATCGGGTACGATTGTAGGACATGATTATATGTAATTTAATTTATTGATTAGTATCTGAAATCTTAACATGGAAAATTAGTTAAGTGTTTAATAGAGAATTACGAAATATAAATAGAGAAGTGCAATTACGAATTTCTAGTGGAATGATTTGTAATTTATTATGGTAAGAATTATTCAGATTAATTATTTGGAATTATTTCCTTAATAGGAAGCCTCGATAATTAATTATGTGGTTCAATTAAAGAAGGAGAATTTGATAATGACTCTCTATATTTTGAGAGTATCGTCTATTCATGTATATATAGTATTACATCAGGTTTAATCTGAAATACATGAGATAGAGTTTATATGAGATTAAAACTCATAAATACAAGCTAACTATCATCCAAAGGATAATTCAAACTATTGCGATAAGACTACAATTGTTTATCTTTAATATCCCCCGTCAAGCTCAACGGTAGTGTACAGACATTGAGCTTGTCACGAAAATGAATATAAAGAGACGAGTCTAGTACCTTTGTGAAGATATCCGCAAACTGATCTTGAGTGAGAACATAGCGAACAATCAGCAAGCCTTGCTCAACTTTCTCATGAACAAAATGATAACCAATCTCGATGTATTTTGAGCGACTGTGAAAAACAGGATTGGTACACATGTAAAGTGCACTTAGATTATCACATAGAAGAACATGTGGCTTGCTGCAAGGGACACCAAGTTCAAACAGTAGATTTTCGAGCCAGGCCACTTCGGCTGTGGCAAAGGCAACTACTCTGTATTCTGCCTCGGTGTTAGAGCGAGCCACAACATCTTGCTTGCGAGAAGACCAGCTCACAAGATTACCTCCTAGAAAAATAGCATAGCCATGGTGAGAGAGACGATCAAGGATGTCGGCAGCCCATCCCGCATCAGAGTAGGCTTGAAGTGACTGATTTAATGATGGAAAAAATTGGAGACCAAGGTGCATTGTGCCCTTAAGGTAGCGCAAAACGCATTTGACTGCAGACCAGTGAGATAGTCGAGGATCGTGCATAAAATGGCAAACCCGATTAACAGCATAAGAGATGTCTGGAAGAGTAATTGTGGCGTATTGCAAAGTACCAACAATACTACGATATAAAGTAGCATCTGGAGCCGAATGTCCATCACGTGTGAGTGTGGCAGTAGAGTCTGCAGGGGTTCGTAATGGTTTGGCATCTTGGAGATGGCTACGGTGGAGAATATCCTTGATGTAAGAGGACTGAGACAGTAGCAAAAAACCATGGTGATGCAGTACTTCAATCCCAAGAAACTAACTCAATTTGCCCAAGTCTTTAAGGGAGAAAACAGAGACCAAAGTGGCTGTGAAGTTGGAGATAAAATTAGAATCATTACCTGTAATAATGATATCATCTACATAGACGAGAAGGCAGGTAAGAGTAGAGCCACGATTGCGAACAAAAAGGGAGAAGTTAGTATAACAACTCCGAAATCCGTGTTGCACCAGAAAATTTTTCAATTTCATAAACCAAGCTCGAGGGGCTTGTTTCAAACCATAGAGAGCTTAGGTGACAAACATGATTAGGATATTGTATATCGATAAAGACAGGGGGCTGAGACATGTACACAACCTCTTGAAGATCGTCATTTAAGAAAGTGTTATTAACATCAAGTTGTTTAAGTGGTCAGCCATGAGCAAGAGCAAGTGATAAGACCACCTGAATTGTAGTAGGCTTCACAACAGGGATAAAGGTATCAAAATAATCAACACCCTCTTCTTGGTGATAACCTTTAACCACAAGACGAGCTTTATACCGCTCAGCCTTCTATTGACATGTCGTTTAACTTTGAATACCCATCTACACCCGACAATGTTGGCATGAGGAGGAGATGGTTCGAGGGACCAAGTGTCATTACGAATCAAGGAATTAAATTCATGTGACATGGCCTCACACCGTTCCGTACATGAACTTGCTTGCTTGTAATTTTGTGGTTCCATATGAGAAGAGGAGGTATTCTGAACAGTCAATAGGAATGTCTTGGGTTTAAAAGAATTAGTTTGGGCTCTAGTAGTCATATGGTGAATAGACGTTGAGGATTGACGAAGATAGGGAAATGTAGAAGATAGAGGAACAGAATGGGGAGAAATGGAAACACGAGATGAAGAAGCGGAATGAATTGGTGGTTCTAAGGGCTCGGAAGTGGCAGATAAGAGTGGAGACGAGGATGATGGCAAATTGGATGAAGGGATTGAATTATCGGTGTTGGAAGAAATCGACGAGGACAAAGTAGGGACTGGAAAAGGGTCAGATGAGGTAAACAAAAAGGCGAGTATATCAAGATTGAGAGAGCTTAAAGCGGGAGAGGCAGGTTTGAAGTTATTGGTCATTATGGAGCAAGGAAAGTTTTGCTCATCAAAAATTACATGACGGGCAATGTAAAGACGGCTTGATGAAACATGAAAGCACAAGTATCCTTTATGCTTACTATTGTATCCTAAGAATACACAAGGCAAAGATCGATAATAAAGTTTATGATTGTTGTAGGGACGCAGAAAAGCATAACACAAACACCCGAAAATTTTCAGTAACGAGTAATTGGGACTACGATTGTAGAGAAGAGAAAATGGAGATTGAAAATTAAGAGATGGACTTCATCCGATTATGAAGGTAAGTGGATGAGGAGAAGGCATGTCCAGAAATGTTAGGGAAGAGATGAGTTTGCAAGAAGAGCAAGACCCTTTTCAACAATGATGAGGTTACGACGTTCAGGAGCACCATTTTGTTCATGAGTATGAGGGCAAGTAATGCGATGAATTATACCTAATTGTTGGAAAAAGGTAGAGACATTGCGATATTCACCTCCCCAATCAATTTTAATAGATTTAATTCTGGCGACTAAATTGAGTTTCCGCCATTTTGATAAAATGCTTAAAGATGGTGAACACTTGAGATTTAGAAGACATAAAAAAAATCCATAAAAATTTAGAATAATCATCTAGAAATTGTACAACATACTTGTTTCCATTAACAGAATCAATTGAAGTAGGGCCCCAATACATTAGAATAGACTAATTCAAAAGGAAAATAACTTGACATATGAGACGAAGCTAAATGGAAACGATGACTCTTTCCAAGTTGACAGGGTCCACAAACAGAGTGAAGTTTATTGCTAGAACCTGGAAGATTAACACTGGAAGCCAAACCACGGAGAACAGATTCTTGAGGATGACCAAGTTGATCATGCCATGTTTGGAGAGGAACTTTGGCAGCCAAAAAACTTCTTGGTCGAGATGGAAGATGAGATGCAGCAAGACGATAGAGGACATGTTTAATCATTCCTCTAAGTAGAACCTTTCCCTG